CATTTGACTTGCAACCACTGTTTCTTCATGTTGCCGGTTTAGCTCTTCAGACTGATTTTCCATCTGAATCTTGGCTTCATTGAACTTGTTGAGCTGCTCTTCAAGAGCTTTTCTTAGATTCTCATGTCTGATTTGGCACGATACTCTTCACCATAGCAGCTGTAGTTTTATCTAACTCTTTTAGTAGCTCTTCCATTTCTCATGGAGTTTACAAAAAGGTCAAATTAAATGAATGGCGCCCTCACTAGAGGCCCATATTGATTTATAGGTTGATGTTAAGTTGGTTCTCTGGGGTGGTTATTTCCATTTACTCTCTCTATGTAAACTGGTTTATCTTTGACGTTCTACCCCATGATTTCCATTTTGGTTTGTGAAAAACTGAAAATTTTTAAATTTTGGTTTTTGAAAAACTGAAAATGAGTAATTTGGTCTTTTTTTAAATAAATTATTATGAAATTTAAAAAACGGACATATGTGTAATAACATAAAATTTTAAACATTTTCTTAATAATGGAAAATAAAACAGATAGAAATGCCCTTATAATAAATGCATGTCTCTCAATTACATTGTCGAGACCGGTCTGGTACTTGTAGTATTAGACATCTATTGATTCTCAATAATATTCATGAGGCTGGTTTGGCACTTTTAGGAATAGTAGTACAGAGGTAGGTTAGACACGTAGAGTGACATATCGACCCTCTTTTTTTAATAATATTGTTGATGCTGGTCCAACACTTGAGTGTTGGACCGACCTCGTTTCTTAAAAAAATTGTTGAGGCCGGTCCAACACTCCTGGTTTCACAATTATATTGTTGGTGTTCCTCCGTTGCTCGCCAGATCAGCATCAATTCAAAATATATTACGAGGCCGGCATTCTAAGTGATCAAATAGCTCACTTTGCTATATCACAATGTCTTGTACAACTAAAACAAAGTTTTAGGCCATATGTATACATAGATGAAGATTCTTTAGGACCTAGGCTTTATGAAAACAAAATAAGGCCTCACCTCAAAAACTCATTGGGAAAGCACTTTCAGTAATAGAAATCTCCTCTAAAACAATTTCCAGCACCGATAATAAATTTTGAAACCCCAAAAGTGGTACAGATCTTGCAAATCACTGAACGCTTAATTTTAAGGTGAAATTGACAGTCTAGATAATTTGTTACAATATACAAAACTTTTAGAGCTTAAAATCCAAATTTTTTTGACAATTAATACTCTCAGGCACGAGATAATCAATGTAAAGGTTTTCCGATGCTTGAATTGTAATTTTTGATGAATTATGAGGTGAGGCTTTACTTGTTTTGATAGGGCTGCAGCCCTATGAAACCATTTTCCTATTTATATATAGTGAGAGAGAGAGAAAAGGGGGTGGTGGAGATCCAGTGTCCAAAACTATTGATTTATTGACCAGAGTACATCTTATATTCCAAAATATATAAAAGGTACAGCATGATATGGAATTCAGATAACAAGTATTTTTATGCGTGATAGGTATGAAGTCCAAATGGGATAGAGGTTATAGAATGCATATATAAATTCACATGTTGGCATCACCTTCATGAATGGAAATATTGGTGACATATTCTTTGATGTTATTATCAGAACTGCCTCCCTCTGCACAAGCCTCCCTAACCAGGTCTCTCCACCTGAGAATTCTCCCTTATGTGAGCCCCTCTTTCCCCTTCCATGACCTCCCTTATGAATCTCTCCAGCTCTCCTCTGAGAACAAATCCCTTGTTGCTAATCTCGACATGCATACCCGTCTTCCAGACATCCGAAACAAACTTCGAGTTGGTCTGCTGGTCGCTCCACTGGGGAACTGCAACCATTGGCACCCCTTGGCTCAGCGCCTCCAGTATTGAGTTCCACCCGCAATGAGTCACAAAACAACCTACCGCTCTATGAGCCAGGATATCGAGCTGAGGGCACCATGGCACTACCAACCCTTGCTTTGATGTGGCCTCCATGAAGCCCTCGGGTAGTGAGTTTCCGCCCTTTTGGTGTGCATATGGGGCCTTCACCACCCATAGGAATGGCCGCTTGCTTGAACGCAAGGCATCGGCTACCTCCTCCATTTGCTCTGTGGGTAAAGCCGCCAAGCTTCCAAATGAGACATACACAACTGAGCTGTCCGGCCTCTCATCTAGCCAACTGAGGCAGTCTGCAGGGTCACATTGTTCATCTCCTGTCCTGGTGGCTCTTGTTTTTCTACCATAGGTTAATGTGAGTGCAAACCCGATCATCTTCGGGGACCAAGACACTGCGATCCCTATGCTCACTCTTCCTCTAATTTGTCAAATGAGCTCACAAGGACAAAATCTGCTTTGCCCATGTTCTTGAACTGGTCCAACTACATTTCGAGGAACAACGGGATGCTCTCAGGTTGGTTGATGTACGAGGGGAGGTCTCGTAAGCCCAGTGGTGGCATTCCGGGAATAGAAAGGCAGATGCCGGGATTTATCCGTAGACTGCGGCTGTAATGGCAATATATCAAGCACACTGCAAGAGGCTGCGTTATGAAGGCAGCTCCTTGGAGGCCATGGTCGTGGGCAATCTTCGAGGCCCAACTCATGAGTCATATGTTAGACAGACCGGTCAGGAACCCACTACAGTTAGTCGAGCTATGTGCTGAGCTCGCGCAATTTCTCCGAGCAAACATGCCGAAATGTACTCACATATGTTTCAATATTGACATTCGACGGCAAGCCATCATCGTCCGAGATGTATTCAAGGTGCGTCGAGGCAATGGCTGATGGATCGGCCTTACGAATATCATTGAGGCTTCAGATGGGGACCACAAGGGTGGCCTTGAGGCCCTTGCTAGCTAGGTGATCGGCAGATCGGCAAATTGAAGCATTGGGTTTATGTGGCCTTGGGCTGGGAAGGGAAGCACCAGGACTTGGGCACTCCTCTCCTCTCTTCCTCCATTCTCTGGGCTTGTTGTGCTCAGTTTGTTGCAGGGCAGAGAAAGGGAGAAAGGGTTTATTTATTTATTTATTTGCAAGCGCTACCATTGATATATGGAAGTGTGTGTGTGGCCCATGCACTAAATTGCTTGTGGCCCCTGTTTGGCAAAATCGTATCAACGTCCTAAGAAGCATATCGAACTAAGGTTGCCAAGGCAAAACTACTAACCACGTAGGAAAAATCGAATCGGGACGGTTAATCGAACATAGGCCTAGAAGCGATTTAACCATCTAACTGGTAAATCGGCCAGTTCAACCGCTTTGATCGAACAAGTATCGGGTAGTAAAAGAAGTGTTAAAAAGTAAAAAAAAATGCAAAAAAAAATATAATAAAAAAAAAAAAAATTTTTAAAAATGATTAAACAAAGAACATCAAAATAAAATAGAAAATTAATGAAAAAAATAGATTTTAAATAATAAATAAAAATATTAAAATAAGTATTAATAACCAAAAAAATTTCCAATTTTTGCCATAATAATAAAAAACATTAAAAAATATATTACAAATAAAATCCGTTATTTTTAGATTTTATATAAAATTCTTTATTTTTTTAAAGCTCAAATGTAATTTTACATTGAGGCTCATTCGATCTCCACTGAAAAGTCATAAAGTTATAGCGACACTTATACACGCGGTTTTTCATAACTAAGTGATTACCGACCTCGGTCGTCGAAGTGAATGGGAATCGGTCACAGATCAATCCGATTTTGAGATGGCATCGAGTCCGGACCCAATTGCTTCTCAATGTATTTAATTTGAAAATTGGAGAACGTTTGTTTTTATCTTGTCATTTTCAAACGTCAGCCTCGCGAATCAAAGTGTTTGAAGCAACCGTGTGGAAAGTTGGAATATAGTCAATAGTACAAAAAAAAAATTGACCTATGCATTTAGAGTGCTTGATTTCTCCTCATACAAGAGTACTCACAAAAATGAATTTCCTGTTTTTGGGAAAATATATTACAATGAGATCATTTATCTTTGGTATAAGATGGTCACAATTACTGTTGACTATTGGATGTGAAGTTGGTTGGTTGCATCTATTTCATTGACCAAGCTCAAAGTTTAAAATAAATTTTTTCAAACTTTGTGACACACCGAAGTTATTAGATTTCATATCAGATGGCTATAAGTAATTATGGCCTATTTGTACTTAAAGTAAATGATCTCATTGTATACAATCCTTTTTTTTTAGTTCTAAAAATGGATCTCTTCATGTAATTAATTCAAAGCTCTCTTTGTTCCTTCACTTTCAAAGGTGAGCTTTGTGAATTAGGAGACAAAGTTCGGAAAATTATAGATGGGCAAGCTTTTTAAGCTTCCCTTACAACATGAAACTTATATACATTTCCCTATCCATCTATCCATTTCGAATGGAAGGCTAAGATCGCCCC